TTCAATAGATTTCGAGGAGTTTTACGAATCATTCCAGTTTAGGGTGACAGATACCCGATATAATAGGACCAGGAGAAAAGTTGGAAGCTGATGGTAGAATCGAAGGAAAAGACGTGGCATACGATAATGCTTTTTCCAATGCAACCAAGGAATTTGATGACTATCGTTGAATACTGAATAGTTCCATCCCCTTCCAGCAATTTTCGCCTTCGTAAGGCTGATAGTGAAATAGAGCTTGAAAGCATGGAATGCAGGAGCCCTTGTAGCCTTGGACCCAAGCTATGCATACCGTGAATGTAGGGAACCGTGGGAAATTTGTCAATTTGGAAGGATAGGGACATGATGTGCTATCCAAGGATTTCTCTCGTAATCGGTTTCCATGCACCATCACCAAGTCTGAACTCTAAAGACTCTAGAGCAGTTTGTTCCTCGTCAACTTTTCAATAGTTCTTTTCATAAATTTCGTAGTCTTCTTTCTTTTCTTCTTCATCTTCTCCCTAGAGGTACTCCCGCACCAAAGTCGGTTTCGCTGTTCTTATCCCCACTCACACTTCCTTCTATCTACGACATACTCTGTCAAGCCTCGGCGAGGTCGTTCACGTCCAGCCACCTTTTCTTTGAGGCTACTCATAAACACTCTATGTTTATTTGTGTTGTGTTTATTGAACCTAAAAACTGGATGGATGGAATATTTGTCAACGGCCACAGATTCCGAGCAAACCGCTTTCATCTGAGATTTATTTCACTACTACTACCGGCGAGTTTCCTCCTAACCAGTTCGTCACAGCGGTGAGAAGTGAAACCCGTCCTGCAGCTCGCTCAGACTTTGTTAGTTCTGATGAAGACGCGAGATTGTAGTCTGTTGCCATGAATTGAGTGCCAATAGGTACGGGTATGATTAGTGCTCCGCTACAGCGAAACTGAGACTTCCTCCTCCTACGTCTCCTATCCTACTTCGAATGAATTGATGTACATAAATCATTTCTATGAGAGAAAGTCCTCCACGCTATCTTTTGGAGGATGGGCTAGCTTGAAGATAGTATCCACCTGATTCACCACCACCAATGGAGGTATATGCTAATTCACTCGCAGTTCTGAAAACTTTATAACTTGTCACTTTTTTTCGAATGAAATCTTCCAATTTTTTTATTTTCTCTGAGTTTTCATCATCAACTATCAATATTACTTTTGCAGCAATCAATAGAGAACGTCATGACTGGGTCAAAAATTTAAAGGCGCCGTTCACGATAATTTGGAGGTACCCTCTTCAGGTAGAAAAGTAGAGTGTTGATGTAGGGGAGTACATCGGTGGCTAAGGAAGCGAGAAAATCCGCCTACTCTAAGGTTCTTCAAAAGTAGTGAAAGTGGAGGTTGTACTAGATCACCGTGACGGTAATAGCATGAAAGGGGTGTTTGGACGATTCACCTCGCTCCCACTGCTCAAAGAGATGACTATATCAAGCCGAAATCATCCGAAATCCTTTCACTGTCGCTATGGGTTATGACAGTTGTTTGAACTTCCTACAAGGAAGTCTCTTGAGTTAGTGCAGCCTCTACAAAGTCGTTGAAATCCGTCCACGATGGGTGTAGCATTCACACGACACAGTCTCTGGGCCCTCATTGTGCCCTATCCTTGACGTTTTTCGAGCTTATAACGGCAAGTATGGTATAAGGGGGAGCCTCGAATCCATACTGTAGGGAACTCTCGGAAACCATCTTTATCGTGGATTGTGCCTTTAAGCAGCCGTATTCGGCATGAAAAAAATCTCAACCAACAATATTGTGAGTTACGCCTTTTTTTTGACTGTTGGAAATTTGGCTTGCAAATTATATACTGACTTTTGAGCTATGACAAATTTCAAAGTGGCCGAATCAGTGGTCATTCAAGGAATACGACTATATACTTTATTTGTGGTTTCCTACAAATCAATGTGATTCACATAACGTTGAAATAGCGTTGAAACAATGGAACCCTCATATTTATTCATAAACTTTTCCAACGTGGCTTCCACGTCGTTCTCATGATAATATGCCTAGCAATAGCATATTTTCTCCATAGCACCGGCCCAATGCTTCTGCTGGGGGCAAAAGCGGAATTTTCAACTGGCAGAATCTGTTTCTATCCCAGCAAAAGTAGCTAGTCACGTTTTTTTCCCAGAATGTTCTGGCAAATTGCATCCATCAGGAAGAGGGCACGCCTTGTAGGCATACTAGTGCTTTTTACCAATTAATAAGTGAATCAAACTAATATTTTGGCAGTTCAGAATGACCCCATGTGAGGTTTGCAGTATAATCTGAATTGACATCAAGGACTGAACGACATACTTTCTTCCGATATTCCGATTTTTAAAAAATTATTGCTCAAAATTCATGTGACGATTTGAGCGACAGAATTTCGTTCTCATGATTTCTATTGTGTCGAAGACTTGCCTTTACAGCGCCCACTGCAAAAAGTCTTGTTGTAAATAGAATTCAAAAAAGTCTTTTTAATTTATTTTTGTTGAAATCCATTTCAAAGGTCAATTTAGTCAAAGATCGGGTAAAACATCGAACTAGCCAAGTCTTCAAATCTCCGTCTTGACAATCTGAAAACGTCATCCATTCTTCTTTCTGAAGAAAACAAAATGACCTTCCAATTAAAGCGGAAGTGGCGTAGTGTTGAAGGAGGCACAATACCCACGCGTGGTCGTGGGATCAGATCCCGAACCACTTTTTATCTTTTCTAGGTCATTTGATTGGTGCCAGACTCTTCTGCAAGAAAAAAAGCACTGACTTGTACATCCACCGCATCGGTTACCCCCACAAAGTCATTGTTTGAGCCACACGCATTCATTCCCCTACCAGGATTCTTAGTGGAAGTAGGATGCGGGGCGCATCCCAGGAACGGGCTCCATTGATGTCAAGTACTTTACCCTTCAATCTTGATCTCTTCAAAGAAGTGTTTCTTCTCGAATCGAGCTATTCCAAAAGAAATCTATCTGACTTTCGAAGCTGCTGAGTTGAGTTCAATCATATGTGTTTATTCATCTCTTAAAAACATCCTCAGCACCGACTTACGATAAAAAAACGAAAAAACGCTAATTCGCCGTTTTGGCGTGAGTTCAAAGCTCCTCGTAGTTAGGGCTGGCCCTAATCATTTGGGTACTTAAGCAAAAATATAGCCCTCAGGTGCTATCCGAACCAATAGGATTTTTTGCATTGAAGAAATATAATTATTCACCAGCCCATTTGTTTTCCTTTTTTTCTAAGTCCTATAAATCAATTTCTGGCGGCGGTTATATGATTATTAGAAGGAGAGCTGTCAGTGTCTTTCGTGTGTGTCTGTGCCAGTACAAAAACGTAACTCTCAGTTATATTTATTTATTCTTAGATTTTGTTCGTCTTTACAATAAGCCGTCTTCCAAAAAATGATATATTTGAGCTCTTGATACCCGTAGAAATTCCAAGAGGGATAATTTGAAGCACAGTCAAGTTGGCGGTGTAGAAATGGAGCTATAAATAAGGACTGAATTGAGCAGGTCTCAGTTTCTGCTGATCACAAAGAGACATCATTCATCGGATTGCTCTCTTCACTGACTTCTGATTGAAGATCCTGAAACAATCGATGGTTGCAGTGGTAAAAAGTGGTTGTAAAAACTCATATTGAAGAGGATACCTACCGTTTCTATGTGAAACGAACTCGCTTCAGGGATAACAGATAGCTTTTTCACGGCCATGGTACCGTATGAGTCGATTCCCTTCAAAAGTTGGTTGATTGAAGGATCATTGCTTGGACCCTTTGACTCTTTCTCACCTGTTCCATCTTATCAGACGATCGCGTTTCTTCTTCTTCATCTTCGATCCCATCGGTCACCCAGGCCATACCTCTCCATACCTTAAGCAGCAAACTGATATTATCGGTGATAAAAGAATGGAGGGGAACCTGGGTCTTGAAAAAAGGGTTGATCTTCATTTGGCAGCACTTTACATTTTTACACTTTATATTTCAAGGGCTGCAGGAGGAGCATTTTCGGAAAAGTTTTCTGCTGTTGAGGAAGTAATGTGTAGGAAACCCAATAAGTGACTCCCTCCGCTCGTCACTCCCTCATCTTGTGATCCTGAGGGAGTGGGATTCATCTTGTGGGTGCGTTCGAAAAACTTTCGTATTCAGCCTTTTTTGTGCTCCAAAGCTGCGAAAAGTAGCTGAGGGTGGGTTTTCGACTCGAACCTAGCTCAGAAAAAATCCCTTCTATGGCCAACTAATGGGGTCCAGCCTTGTTTGGCATACAGAAAACTCCGATTTTGAATGTCGGTCGTCACGCAAATGTCACTATTAAGGCTCATGGTTGTCCTTCTTCTTAACGAATGTTGTTGGATTAGTTTTCAATTGGTTTTCTCGCGATACATTGTGTGACAAGTTTTACGAAACTCCAGGAGAGCCTGTTTGAGAAATCCAGCCCCTATCAAAATAGGAGACCTTCTTATTCCCTCAAATACGAACAGTAGTACTCATCATCAGTATCGAACTCGTGGCTGTTCTTTTTTTTTACTAAAGACACATTCAGGTAGGTTGAGATGTGTAGTATGGATGGAATGATGAAAGGTGGAGCAGAACAGTGCGAAGATGGCTAAGAACGCGCAAAAATCTGCGGATTTAAGAAAAAAGCCTCAAAAAAAGTAGTAAAGGGAAGGTTTGTATGAGCTTATGAAGAGAGAAGGGCAAAAAAAGGGGTGTTTCGGCGAGCTGCCGGTTGTGTTCTGACATGAGGCATACTTGAAGGCAGCCGTTTCATCCCATTTGGGAGGATATCTCGAAACCATTTTATCGTGAAATGTGCCTTCAAGTCAAGCATGATTTTCCAAAGCATATGTGCAGGGTCGAGTTCGACACGAGGACAAACATACTCACACACCAACTCAGCACCTAGCATGGTACCCCGAAAACATAAGTGTAGGTTCGAGTTCGGCCTAAGGTAAAGCATTTTCCCTGGTAATGGGCCCTGTCAGATCACTGTGTCTGGTAATTAAACTGGTTATATGGATCAGTTGGTAAACTGATCGCTTGACAGCACTTTTAACGATTGTAAGGCTCCCATCAGACAGTCCGTAATCGAGTTCAGTCTTCCTGGCTTCCACAACTCCAGAAGGTTTATGGTCGATGATTAGGATCTCTCCATCAAATGCGAAAAGCGAAGTCTCATGCATTCCGATCTTTTACTTGTTACTGGTCTACCTTCTCATGAATGTTAAGAAAAAGTGCTAATCTGTCATTTTGAAAGGCAGCTTCAGTCAAGGGGGCTCACACAATCGCCACACTTCCTACTACTTTCTTTTGTCTGCTTCAGGAAGGGACAGGTCGCCAGGTCGCAGCTAGTTACAAAATTCATGGAGAAGGGGGCAAGACAGTGGAAGCCCGGAGGAAAGACAGAAGGGAGCAGCTAACCTCCAGATCGCGAAAGTTATTTATTTTTTGATTGTTTTATGCTGGTGGTTTGAATAAGAGGGGACCGAAACGACTTGAAAATCCGCAAATGGGCACAGAAAATTTGGGGACCAAAGGTGGACGACAGCAGTCCATGGGACAAGGAGCCGTCAAGGAGAAATCAAGCAACACCGTACATAGCATGTGCTCCAAACATTAAAGAACGAATTCTTCTAGTACTATTCGGTCCGCTCGTGCACTCAACTACCACTCAGAATCGTAGTGACGATTTATACATGTGTGGGCTTATACAATGGCCAGCCAAAAAGAGTTAGTGTTTTTATCCTCCCAGACGAGTCTGGCACATATCAGCTCATACGGGAGGGAAGGAAAGCTTGATAGGCTTACAATTATACGAGTAACGTTATCGGACCGATCCCAAAACATGTTTGTGATAGTGCGCCAGCTTCCCCAGTTTCCATTAGTCCACCCGGGAGACTACTTACCCACAAAACCCAAATCCGCTAAACTGAAAAAAAGACTCACTTGCAGTATACTACATGAATACACCATCTAAAGTCACGGAACAATAAGTGAGAGAGCGAGCAGAGCAGGTATTGCTGCAAGTGGCCCAGTATCACAAGTATGATTCCGGGATTAATCCTCTGATCGAAACTCGCCTAGGTCAGCCAAGCCTTATATCGTTCCAGGTTGCTCAATTGACGACAAGCTTCTCTGGGAGGATGAAAGCGCTGCTCTGTTTATCAGTGGCCACTACAAGTCATTGTGTAGGCTACATATGTTTTGTGTGGGCCCACGGATCAACAACAATCGTCACTACATCTCTGTGTGGAAATCAAGGGAAGGGGCGCATCGCACGAATGCAATTGTTATGGGCCAAAAGAGTATTCTTTTCATTGACAATGTAACCTAGTTTCGAATTATTTTTCTGAAAACTAAATGCATAACTTGAGGACGCAACTAAAGAAGTGCCGATGAAACCTTTTAGAGCCTGATATGAAAGTTAGAAGGTACAAAAATAACCGCATTTGAAGTTCCTAACCTGTTGCATGATGTGGACAGCAGGCGCCAGCATTGCAACTGTTGCTCGAGGTTCGTTTCTGAAAGATAGTTAAAGTTCATTTACTCAAGCAAATTCCAATGTCTGTGGAGATGCCTGGGGTCTGCCTGACAAAACAAATGACATTCCTTCGGGGCACAATACCATTTAACATTCAGAGACCTTATTTTAACGACAGTTAGTCGAAACTTCCGTCATAACAGATATGGCAGTTACCAGAGTGTATGCGAAGTATGAGAAAGTAGTGCCAGTAACGCCAGCACCCTACGTTCCGCTGGAAGGTTTATATGGGGGATTTCTGGTTTATCCTAAAAAGGATTTGACAGGGACCAAAACGTCTTTTACCTAGTTGCTTAGGTACTCCCTACAACAAACAGTTACTGATATTCCAGTTAAAGGCACAACTCACGATCAAAATGGTTTCTGAGATTCCGTCACAGGATGAATTTGAGGTCCCCGCCTATACCTTATCTAGCACTATTATGTCGGAAAACGGCCTAGTTAGAAAATTATAAATGCTCAAAGATTGGCCTGTGTGTACCCTCGGACGAGTTTCACCGGCATTGTAGAGGATGCACCGGTCACAAGGGAACCCATGTAGGAAGTTCAAACAACTTACCATGACCCATAGCGACAGCAAAAGACAGTTCGTCTAGTTCTGGCTTGATGTAGTCAGCTCTTTGCGCAAAAACAACGACTGAAAT